AACTACTTGCAATGGGAAATTTCGTGTCTAAATTATATGATTTTTTTTTTAGCTTAAATATTAATAATGAAATCTTATAAAAATTTTGATATTTAATAGTAAGTGCTACTATAATATTCAGTTGTTAAGATTGTTTGGATATTTCTTAGGCTGCCAGTAATTTTTTTGATGCTGAGATGACATACATTTATTTTTTTGATATCTCTCTAATATTTTGAATACAACTCTAATAAGTCTTAGTTGTTTCAGTTACTTTATGACCGTTATTATTTTTCATTCTGCATAAACTTTTATTGGTTAAATAAGTTGATATTACTTGACATTTACTTATTATGCTGTCACAAACAATTATTCAAAGACACACTTAAATTTTTTAAAATCTATTACTGTATAACTTCTTTTGAATGCTACACTATTTGTGAATCTAAAAAAAATACAGAAAATAAAGGGTTGACTTTGTCAAGACTGCTATTCTGAATTATAGTTTTTTCGTCAGACATTCCAAAATCACTAATTTTGACGTGATTATTCGCTGTTAATAAACAATTTCGAGCTGCTATGTCTCTAAAAAATTAATAATTTCAGATGAACTTTTTACAGTATCAAATTTTAATTAAAATAATTCTGGTCTTATTAAAAATATTTATGGTTATATATGTGTAAGAGTATTTTTAGTTATGTCAATAAAGAATATTTACGTAAAATACCTATGAATACACTTTTTACTCTCAAGATATTCTAGTCCACGTGCACTTTCGTAAGTGAAACGCAATTTCATATCAGGCAATATCATGCCTCGATTTTTTCTCAAATACGATAACGCTGATCCGCCTAAGAAATTTATTATTTTTTACAATTTTATGCAACTTACATTTGTTTTTTAAAATTCATTTTATTTTTTTGCATTCGTTTTCCCATTGAAATAAATAAAAATTATTACTTTTGTATATTTTCTGAGATTAGTTTTTAAGTAAAGTAATAACAATAATTGACAAATATCTCATACAATATGAGAATTAAAGCAGGACTTGCTATAGCAGTATTTTAAATTGAAATTGTTTCAAGATCATCATATCATTTTTAGATAACTTTTTGTAAAACTAATGCACCCGAACAAAGTTCCATCAGAATCAACAAAGGTGATTCATCTGCAGCAATTCCATAAATATGTACAATATTTGGATGATCAAATTTACGCATTATTCGAGCTTCTTTAAGAAAACTCAGACGTGCTGTACGTGAAGCTTCAGCATGCATTGTTTTAACTGCTGATTGATGTACATTTGAATTTGCATCTGTATATTCCGCAAAATAAACCTGAGTAGTGAGTTAAAATAAATTTCATTGGAAAGTAAAGTAAATTTTTTCATAAATTGCGTAAATACTACGGTATTTTGTCAAAAAATTATTAATATTATTGAAAGGTTAAAAAAAAAGTTTGAATAGCAAAATTCATTAGCTAAAAAAGTATGGTATAAGTATAATTTTTTTCTAAGTAAAAAAATAGGAATGAATTTATAAGTAAGCGAAATCATGAAAAATGACTAACTATATTATAAGTTAGGTACAAAATATAATTTCGCAGTTTTTTTTTTTGGACTTAATTTTGGGAGTGAAAAATTTTAGAACGATCATTTATTCTAAATGCAATTTGTTGATTAAAGTTATTTAATAATTTTTTATTTAACGTCCTAAATTTTAAGTTTAAAATTGCACAACCTCACCAAATGCTCCTTTACCAAGCTTTTTGATCATTTTCACTTGATCTTTTTTTACAAGCCAATTAGGCCTTGGTATTGCTGTCTTAATAATTGCCTGACTGCTAATTGAAATTGGTGTTTTTGTTGATAAATGCCATTGAATGAGTTCATCGATAGAGCTTTTCTACAAGTAAGGAAAAATTAAGGCCTGCACTAATCTCTTTGTAAATTTGTTTTTAGCTCATTTTCAGGTCAGATATTTATATTTTGAATTGCGATTCTAAACGCAATTAAATTTTTTTCCTAATAAAATTTAATTTATGCAAAAACTTTTAATTTTTTTTACAAATTTCAATTTAATGATTTTTTGAATAGCTGATTTAATGAAGATAAATAAAAGGCTATAATCTGACTTTTAGTTCTATCTATTTATTAATATAAAAACTATTACTTGCTTAAAGTTGTGAATAATATTCATTATATTTTTAAAGCCAGAATGCGTTAAAAAACTTAATCAAGTACTAATTACATGCGAAAATTTTAATCATTATAATAAATTGATTTTTTAATGTTGAATACAATAAACATAAATTATAATTTCAAATCAAAGCTTATTTTTAAAAAATGCATCTGTAAAAAACTGCTTGGATCATACAAATTAGTATTTGAATTACTCAAAATATTGCTTTATTGGTCTTATATTATGACTATTTCAATAAACTCACTTTAACTTTTTCAATATAAAATTCGCCTTTTTGATCTTGATTGATAATAAAATTCTTTATGCCTTTATCTGTACACACAGCTAATGATAAAATTAATTCATCTAAAACTTTCTAACTTTTTTTGACATTTTCAAATTTTTTAATCTATAACAAATGTAAATTATACAAAATAGCCATTATTTTTTTGTCAAAAAAAGGCAATTATTAAAAAAATTAAGTAAGAGAAAAAATATTATTGCCATATTTAATAACCTTTCCAATAAACTGTGCGCACTAGAAAATCACCATCATGAATAAGTAATGGTTCAATATCTTTTCTTGCAAGAAAACCGTGATAATATTTATCAGATACAACATTACTCATTCTGTAACCTTAAAAATGTCAATTTTTTGAGGATTTTTTTAGTTCCAATGAATAATAATAAATGAAAGTGTGCAAGTTTTTTTCAATATATTTCAAGTAATTATTAAAGGAATTATAGAGTATGTTGTTTGATAAAAATTTTAGATATGCACTGATCATAAACGAGTCAGACTAACTTCCAATAAAATATCAAACTACGTCTGTACTGCAATAAACCAACTGCTTTGTATTAAAACTTTATCCTATAATAACTCAAAGATTTTATTAAATAACACAATTAAACTTTTATGTAAAACTTTTAAATTATTTTTTATGTCAAATTGAAATTATTCTTAATTTAAATTTTATATTCAAAGACTTTATTTAATTTCTAGATACATGAAGGGTAGAAGGGAAGAAAAATAAAGAATCAAATACACAAATGTTTGAAAGTTTACTTTTTAATAACAGCTTATGGCTATAAACAAAAGTAAATAGTGTGTTTAGTAATAATTTATTATCATTATTTTTTTTTCATGGTACTGAATACAGTCCTTGTAATTAAACGAAAAAAAACAGTTATTGTCCTGCAATTGTCAAATTTGAATAAAACTTTTTTTTGTTATAAATTTTTTAGTTGCAACCAGAGTTATCAATTGAGGATTCAACTGATTTTATCATACAGAGCAGAAGAAAGCTAAAACTTTCGATACAAAGAATTTAAATGGATAGTTATTGTTGATGACTAAACTTAATTATATTTTTAATTTTGAAGTTTATTGTTATACTTTTGACATGTATAAACAAGCAGGCAATAATCTTATCAGTGAACTATAAACTATCAAAGCATTAAATTCTCTTTGAAAGTAAAAAACGAAACACTGTGATATTTTGGCAATTTCGAACTAAATACTAACTAATACTTAATTGATAACTAATATTATAGCTAATATTATATAAATATTATAACTACTATAACTAATATTTTCTAATATTTCAAATCTTAAAACTGCTTGTCTGAATTTTTAAGCTGAAACTTTCCACTGCAAACTGAAAGTTTGTTGCAGTTTTTTGATATGAATTCATGCCTTTAAATGTCTAAGAAATAAAAATGGTCTCCTTGGATACAATAATTAAATTGACTATCAATTCTTTTTTTAAATTAAATGAAAATCAACATACATTTGTTTGTTCACTTAACGTTAACGCTTGAACTCAATTTTTCACGTTTCTGACATTGTTAAAAATTTATGTTAAGTTTTATGTATACAAAGCAGCAACCGTAACTGTCATATTCTTGAAACTTAAACCCAAAACTGTTTGATTTTGTTTTAGCAAAATTATTTCTCAGAATATTTAACTCTATATTCTTGTTATACTATTATGTATCTATTGACTAATTAAAAGTAATATAACTCGTAAATGTGCACAAAAAAATGACAAAAATTATGTTCAAATCTTTGCTTTGTCGTTGATCAAGATCAAATTAATGACAAATTTCCTGCTTAGCTATTATTTTTCAAATATATTAAAACAAAAATT